AGGGTGTTGAATATTAAGAGGCTACTTTACCATACAGTTCGGCAAATTACAAAAAACATATATTATTTATAAAAATAATTGGATGAAATTTTGTACATAGCTTCTTCCAACAATTATACATAACGCAAGGTGAAAATTTTTGAAATTTTCAAAAAAAAAGGAGCATTTTCTTCAATATTAAAGAATTTGGTCATTCTTTTTTAGCTTGCATGATAGTATACATGAAAATAGTAATATTTTTCAAATGAAATTTTTCTGAATTTTTAGTAATAAAGGAATAGTTTGTAATTTGCTAAAATTGTAAAAAGGTAGCGTAAAAATGAATATTTTCCGTCATGATTCCCACGAAGTATTACTACCGCGTTAGACCCGCCTCCGGCCGACTGAGCGACGCTGCTAAGCGACGCCGTTCACCGATGCTCTTTATTTTATCTATTGCTTCTTTAATGTGGTAGAGAAAATAATCATTTGTAAAAGTGCGTTTTGAACTTTGTTTTTAGTTATTTGTTAGTTATTATTGTGTAATTTAACTACATTTTTGGGTTTATAGTTTACTGTTTATAGTTTATTGTTATTTTCTCGTTTACTTTAGTGTTAGTTAAGTTTATGTAAAGTTTTATAAACAATGGGTAAGTACATACACCCAGAAAGGAAAGATGGTTGTCGCAAAAACCTATCACTTAGTACTCGAAGACGTTCTCGAAAAAGGAGTAATAGACGATAATAATTTACGATATATATTTTTGTAAAAGCTAAATTCCCATTTTTATAGTGCGAGCCGGACGACAGAAAATTCAATTGAAAAATGTGTTCCATCTGATAGGTAAGTTAATTTTTATTAATTTAATTTAAAAAGAATAAATCAACAGTAAAAATTGTTTTGAAAATGTTTATATTAGTTGTATCAACACAGACGAAAACAATACATTATTTGAAAAGATACCATGCGGTGATGAGACAAATAATATAAATGATGCAAAATTATACGGTCGTCGAATATTTGACATAAAAAGTTTATTAGACCAAATACTAACAGTCGGGAATAATCATGAACCTTTTAACTGCAACATAACTAACATGAAATTTATAAAGGAGTCAAGAGAAGGGCTTAGGAGCTCATTTCTTTTACAATGTACTATTTGCGGGATAAAAAAGGAGCTTCACACAGAAGAAAGCGAAGAATCTATTGACATAAACTCTGCTGCTGTTTTTGGAAGTATATCTGTCGGTACCGGATATACACAGACAGAACAATTATTGTTATGTATGGATATACCATTTATGTCAACAAAAACATTCCAAAAATATCAAGAAACGGTAAGTGATAAAATCAGGGATGAAGCATGGCAGTCTATGAAGAACGCAGGTGAAGAAGAATGTAATTTAGCCAAAGCTTCAGGAGAAGTAAACAAAGACGGAATTCCAATGATAACCGTAATTGCGGATGGTGTCTGGTGTAAACGCTCATACAATGTCAATTACGACGCATCGTCCGAAGTTGTACTGCAAATAGTTGTGTGTACAAGGTGATTCAAGCCACCCGTATATTAAATTTTTTTTAAACGGATCTAACTAAATAGTTGAAACAAAAAATTATCGAGAAATAAAAATACGTTTATTATAATTTTTTAAGAACCATTTCATTATTAAACTGGTGACAGCTGTGTAGCCAAGTTTTCAAATAAACTAGTCTGTACAAGTGGTCTAAATCACCCTATACATATTCCACAAGAATACTATCATAATTAGTATGTTTTCAGGGTTGTATCA